TCAATAAGAAATTCAGTAAATAAGAGTTCAGTAGTGACGTGCTTCTCAGGTCTCGTTATAATTCATTTTTACATGCATCACGACCTAGTCTTTTACCCCTTCTTCTTTTGCCGATCTGCTTCCCCCATCGAGCGGTTCGAGTTTCAATTTTACAGGGTATTCGAATCTTGTGGAGGGGCAGACGAAGAAGATCGAGGTTTTGGTCCTCCTAGTGGCCAGTTTGCCCGACAGATGATCAGTTTTTGGTTCGCGGCTTCTCCTTCAACATCTGCTCCTCTCGAGAAAAGGCTATTCGAGGGACTTCGAAAGGTTCACAAACAGAAAACAAGCACGGGGGCGGAAGTGAGTTTCGACGCTTCTCCGACCGAACAGAGAGAGAATCCGGTCTAATCTTGAGGATTTGAGGTGATGTCTTATTCTACTTACGTACTGGAAACGTGTGAAGTTTGACTTATTAATCGAAAAATTTACGAATGACATTTTACGATACTGAAAAAGTTGGTTAAGTTTCGTTATGTGTTTCCATTCAAGTTTGTCTAAATTTTCATTTTTAACCGTTCACTGATTTCTCTCTTTTTTTCTAAGAAACAATCTTTTTGTTCGTTTTACAGTTGATTTGAAAGAAGATAGGAGAATTAGTCAGCATGTCGAACATAATTCGTTTGGTAGTCAACAACTACAATGAAATCTTGGAGGCTAACAAAGGTAATTGCGTGAACATCGTTCAACAGGAAGATAATGTCAAGCTGGATGTCCAAAAGTTCGCTCTTGCGGATAGAGCTCTTTCTTTTCGCGTCACGTCAATCAGCTTTATTCACTAAAGTCAAAGTAACCTACTTTATGAATAATACGGGAAACACTCAACTTTTCTTTAATATTTCAAATCAATAGCGATGCTAATTGATGCAAATTCTATGTAAAAGCGACGAAAAGGTCTCGATGCGCTTTGTATGTAAAAAAGAATTAAAATAGGAAATAGACAAAATGTTTTTACTACAAAAATACTACTGTGATCACTGAAAAATAGTCTAAGGTATTCGATTAAACCGTGTTTCTTTTTAGAAATAATGGTAGATTCCTGGCCAATGATGAGCTCCCCTGGACCTATGCTGTGCATCGTTGGAACCTACTTAGCGTTCGTTTTAAAAGTTGGACCGAAAATGATGGAAAAGAGGCCGGCATTTCAATTGAAAAACGTGCTGATTCTTTACAACGCGATCCAAGTGCTTTTCAGTATCTGGTTGACGCATAAAGTAAGATTCATTAGAACAACTAATAAATTCAAATTATTTCAATTCCTAATTTCACCTGTTTTGGTAATCATTTCTTTTGTGACTTTTAATAGGCTTTCGAACCCGGTGTTGCATCCCTCATGCTCTCACCTAAATGTAATAACGCGAATCGGCCACCTACGGATTTGGGAATTCAAACCACGGTGGGTTTGCCATAAAAATACATAAATAGCTGTAGTGTCCAATTTGTTAATTGCATGGTGTAATAATAAATTTTATGTGAAATAGGTGACAAAAGCTGCCTGGTGGTATTTCATCGCGAAAATAGTCGAACTACTCGATACAGTGAGTTCAATATAATCAGTTATACAAGCGTAATTATTTAATACAGTAGAACTCCATTTTTCTGAACTCGCCAGGGAACAAATAATTCACATAACTGGATTTCACCCATTTTCCTCGTTATTCATTACTTTTTGCTCATGCAGTAGATTCAATCAACAAGGCTATAATCGATCATCAATTAAATTAACGATGATTTCGTTCGGACAGTCAATAGTTCAGATAAATAATACTCTACTTTGTATACGCGAATACAATTTTTCAATTTTTCTATCACCTCAAAGGTATTCTTCGTTCTCCGAAAAAAACAAAACCAAGTGACTTTTCTACACGTGTACCACCATACGCTAACCGCGATATTCTCATGGTGCTATCTGAAATTTCTCCCCGGAGAGCAAGGTGCGCTAATTGGTTTCTTGAATACCTTCGTGCACATTGTCATGTACTCGTACTACCTGATAGCAGCTCTTGGCCCGCAATACAAGAAATACTTGTGGTGGAAGAAATACATGACCTGGATTCAGCTGGTAAATATCTTCACCAAACAACGCATCGACGCTTTCTTCCGAACTTAATACCTACACTAACCGTGTTTTCTTCGCTGCGCCAGGTGCAGTTCTTCCTGATGCTCGGCTACCAACTGATGATTCTCGCGATGGATTGCAAGGTACCAAGGGCTCTTACGTATTTCTTTATCGCCAACACGATAATCTTCATCTACTTGTTCGGCAACTTTTATCGAAAATCCTACACGAAAAAGCAAGTTTAATATCTTCTAAAATCATCAATGTGACGCCTTCGTCAATCGAAATGGTGAATGAACGAAAATCGGAAACCATCCGACCTAAAGATGAAAACTTAAAAAAGAAAAAAAAGAAAACTTAAAAGGAAAAAGAAGTTCATTAACGCAAGAAAGTCGAATAAAAGGAATAAAGAGACGGAGCAAAGGTCGTATATGAGGACATAATAGAACGACAAAAGACAGGAAGAAAGCAGTTCTAATTAAGAAAAGGATTTGAATTCAAGGTCCGTTCAATTGGAGCGATTTCGATGAATCTAATTTGAAATTCCAATAAATAACGAGCTCCATTCGGCATCTAGGCCAATAGGTCCAATGAGCATACGATGTCTCAGGAAAGATACCGAGACGATTCGTCAGAAGCTGGAGAAAGTACAACGAAATCTTGACTGAACCCAAATCCCCGGGGGCGATCTCTGTAAAACTAGGTGGACTATGATTCAGGAAAAAGTTGAACAGAAAAGGCACTGTATCTTCTTTAGACGATTGTCACACGTGAGCATCGAAGAACGGTAATTGCTTTCTCCTCGGAAAGCAAGACCCTGCGTCTACCGCTCCTTTTTCAACTCTTAATCGATTGACTCTTCGATGAATTCCTATCTGGAGGAACTCATCACAAATAGTATATTTCTGAAATTATTTTTTATTTTCTCTTTCTTCTTATTCCTAAGATTTGATGATCTTTTAAATTAATTTTTAAATTAAATAGCTTTTGCCTTCTCGACTTCGTGTCGCAACTCTGTACGATATTTGGCTTTCAATCGTTTCGTTTTAACTCGGATGGATAAGCTGTCCTATGAAAAATCCTTTTTTATATAAGAATGTTGGCTAAGATTAATTTCCATTTTGCATTTTGTGAATCAGTTTCGTAACTACAGTCACGTGATATTGACAAACGATTTCAAAATCATGTATCTAGAAATAGCAATAGCATTATTTACCGTATTTATATATACGTAACTACGATTAGACGCGTCACAATATTATAGACTATTCGATATATCATGAGACACCGAAGAAAAAATATTTTGTTGATTCGTTCGAAAACGCGAACAGTCATTTACTTGTGTTTTGAACGAATCAACGAATTTTAAACGCATATCTGTCACGCCTGATGCAACAGTGTGCAACATAAGCAGAAATGTTGCCGTTAATCATGGCATATGTTAATATTCTGCATATTTATAGAAGTCGATCGCAATTAAGACATGTAAATACAAAATGTTATTATTTATTCACAACTTTTTAGACGAGTTGACAAAAGGAGGATCTCAATACAGCTTGTAAATTTTAATGCAACGTTCGAAATATGTTTTGGATTTTTCTATCTTTAAAAATAATGTTCAATGGAAATGTATATGGATTTGATCTATTATGATGCAAATCACGATCGCGAAACGGCACTGCAGCAACTAAAAGTAATCAAGAAACGTAAATTGTATTTAAGATAAAAATCTTCGGACAATTCTTTCTTTCTTTCGAAGATTCGGACAATTTATAAATTTTTAAATGTCTATCTTAATATAAGAGGTAATCCCTAAAGAGTCATTTTAAAAAGAGATCTTTACATGAAGTTGTATTAAAATTCAACGAGTCAAAGTTAGATCTCTCTTCTTGTGACGTCTACTTTCATTCTTCTTTTCCTTTTCTTCCATTTCCCACATAAATCATTGCCGTTAACAGTAACTAAGTAACAGATTCTAATATTCTTGCAAACAGAATTTAATAAAGTTGGCCAATAAGTAATTTGTCTTTCATAAATGTGTTTCTTTTTTTAACACTTTATGCAGCTAATGATAATTAATATTCTTTTTTTATGTAGACACAGTAAGTAGCAAAATATGAAGAAAATTTCAATGAAAAACGTACAAACGAAAAATAACGTAATCACGAATATAAACAAATCATCGTTATGATTGATTTTCTCGCATGTATAATTAGGAAAGTATCGTGATTCAATATTTATGTTCAAATATAGCTTGCAAAGCGTGCTGCACATTGTGGAAAAAATAAATAACAGCTGTCTTACAATATATCTAAATGTAATTGGAAACTGTAAAATTCAGTGAAATTTAACGATTAATTTCCACTAATTAAAAATGAGGTTTCTGCAACGAGGCTGGTACGAAACGAACTTAAAGCCATTTTCTTTGTCTTCGTTGCTTCATTATTAAACTTTATTCTTGTTAACACTTAAATATGTATTATGTGACTCGCAAAATAATTCCTAGTCCTAATAGTAATTCTAAGTCCGCACAAACTTTTTCCTTAACTTTTTATACTCCAACAAATATCTTCGACGTTTCAGTCATTGGAGTTGTGCTAATAAGCAACCATAAATCAACTCTTCTTTTAATTATTTCATGTTAAAAAATTCTTGAAAGATCGTGTTTATTCTTCAAATTACACTCATTTATAACTACGGGATAAACATTCCTTTCAATTTAAATAACAAAGATTTGAGCAAAGCGCGTAACAAAAGACCGACATGTCTGACGTAATTCGCATTTTTTCCTAGAATTTCACAGACTACACCATGACAAATTGATTCTGAAAGAGTGGTTCTCTAAAATTTGTAGACAAAAAACGGGACAAGTTACGATGCTTGAACAGGTATGAAGCTGGAATTCGGGAGATTTCAGATTTATTTTCAGAGATACACTGCGTTTCTCCTTGAGAATTATTTCGTACTTGTTCGTTTGCGGGTGAAAAAGTCCACTGGATCCCTCACTGTTTTTGTGAAACGGTACGTTAATTCATCGGCGGTAATCAATATAAAATTTTGATTATTTACTCGACCTGAATGTATTTTGCAGCTTATACTTATTTGATGCCCTTTATGAAACTCTACGTCGTAAAATGGAATGTATAAAATACTTTGGTTTAATTAATAATTACGTAGAAGATCGAAGAAGTTGGCAGCCTTGTTAAAACATTGTGCCGTTTAAATGACCGTCATAAGGCTTATTATTCGATAATATTATCTAGATAGTCTTAATCTGTTAATAGACTGACGATTGAAATGATTGAAATTATACTAACATTAAAACCAACCAGTCAATTTCATTCCCGTTGTAATATATTGTAAGTCTACATACTTCAGAAGAACGATCTGTTCTTTTATTTATCTAATACTGTCTAATTGAGCACGAAAACTAAAAATTAGTCCGATGAAACTGTATTTTCAAATTCTTTAAAGTACGTGAATACTCACATTCATTTTCTAGTTAAGTCGTAATGATGTAATTCAAGAGTAAATTCTTTTTAAGCGGATCGTCAAACGATTAGTTAGAATATTTTCTATATTAATCTATAAAATATTATATTAATGTAAGGTAAATTCGGGAGATACGCCACCCTTTTTGATTAAGGCTCAATAACAAATATGGCTTCATATTGATTAAAACGATTAATTTTTTTATTGCAATAATACGCTTATATACTATGAAAAGCAAAAGCATTTCTCAATTTTCCTTATGCAGAATTCATAAAAATTACAAAAAGTAATACGTTGCTAAAATGGCAGCTCTCCTACATCTTAAAGATGTCACATGCACTAATTCCTGTTCCTTAAATTCTTTTTCTGTGTTTACTAGTTGATAAGAAGCTACTAAATAGTAAAATAGGTCTTGTCTCCATTACGCTTGTAACAAGCATTGCGTAATGTCTCACATATATAAAATTTTTAAGTAATTTTTTGTACAGTTATCGCTTTAATGGTTCACAGACACAGACCTGTACATTGAGAGTCGAGCAGGTACTAACGTATTTTTTCATGCACACAAGCAGGGTTACGACAAGACGCAACATATACAATTCTTTTTCTCCGATTAGAAGATATTACAAGTATGGCGTTTTTCTTCTGAATTTACCTTGTGTAACTTCAATTAAAACTCTCACGCGTCTTTCCCCTTTCTGATCAATTCCTATCGCTAGTAATTACTCCACATTCTTGAATGGTTATAATTGACGCATGCAGTTAAAGACTTCGTAGATGACAGTCTGTCCGCAAACGATCAAGGAGAAACGATCGATTTTATGCGCAAATATACACTTCTTCCCCATTATCGCCAACAGACGCGACATGAACCAAAGAAAATAAGTTTTTCCGACTTTCCTAGGGAATTTTCAAAAGATTTTCGTAGTTGTAAAATTCAGCTCCTCTTGTTCATGGAACCATTGACGTTGAAGGATCAAAAGCACAGTCACCGTGAATGTAAATCCATTCAAACATCCCATAGTCGTTTCATCGACCAATCGTAGATGATCCACTTTTAACGCGTTGAAGCCAACGGCAACGAGCGAATATTCTAGTCGATTTTTCTTCTTCTCGTTGCTTGTTTCTTACTCATGGATTTCTAGACTAGTTCATTTTCCTTTTTCCATTTTGCGTGTTTCCATTTGCCACTTTCTTCGCGACTCTATTCTCTTTGCCTTCTATCGATTTCGAATAGTTTTCGTTATACTTATACGCGTTGCTGTAGAAATCGGCGAACAAGAAGTAGAAGAACATCGCGTTTGGCAGAATTATGATGAGCGACCATTTTGGGTAGTCACAGTCGTAAATGAGCAATTGGCAGCTGTGCAGAAACGCCAAGCAGAATTGACCCTGTTTAACATAATGAGAAGTGTCTATTGCATTTATCTATATGAATGAAACCATGGTATTTACGGCTATTTAGAAAACTCAGAGTAAACATGAAAAATAACGCATAGAGGAAAGATGTTCACCATTTGGAGAGTCGTGATGTATTTCTTCCACCATAGATATTTCTGGTACTGAGGTAGTAGTGCAGCTAGCAAGTAGTACGTGTACATGATAATGTGCACGAAACTATTAACAACGCCTGGAAGAAAACGATCTGGCCGTAATTAAGTGAAGAATGAGAATGTAATGTTTTAATATTAATTAGTTCGAGATCGGTACTCAGACATTAAGTTGCGCAATACCTTTCCATTAGTTCGGATCTGAGGATCCATCAGGTAATAAATCAACTAAAATTATAAAAGGCAAAAAAAAAATATATATTAACTTGAAACATTATATTTTTAAAAACAGTCGCTCGGTTGGAAACTGAATTGTAAATTGTTTGAGATATAAAATAATCGCTGATTCTAAAATCGAGTAAAAAATGAGTATTTATAGCCAGAGCTGTCGATTTAATGAAATGCAAATTAATTACAACTGCAGAAACCATTTAACTATTAGCGACAATTTTGTTAATATACATCGATTTCTAATGTATTAAGGAAACGTAAACTTTACCTATAAATGTGCCATGTCCACCCGGATAATATTTGGTAGCGCCCCAAGAGGCCATCGGCATTACAGTGTGATGATACAAATGGAGGAATGTGATTTGGCTCTCTTTCTTTCTTAGAACGAAGAATATTGTGTCTAGAAGTTCCGACAGCTTCGCCAAAAAATAAATATATACGCCTCTGGCGACCTACGATAAATTTATATTTAGTTAAAGTTGAAAAGTAAAATACATAATAAGAGTCAAATGGAAATTAGAAATGGTAATAATACTCTAAGTGCGTCTGGTGAGTTAGAATAGTCAACAGGTTGACACTTCCAACTGTACTTTCGAAGCCAAGCTGCGTCCAGACCTTCGTAAAATAGCCAAAAGCTGAGGAGAACTTGCAGGAAGTTGTAGAAGACTAGAATTTTCTTTAATTGGTATGGTTTTCTGTGCTCCATATGTCTCGGACCCCAAGATAGGATGAAATACAAATAACCGATTATAATACTAGCACCAGGTACGGGTGATGGTATGAGGAACCAATCTCTTGTCCGAGGATCTAAAAGAGGAAATTAATATACAACAGGAGAATCAAAGAAAATAATCATTGAAAAAAGATATTATTTCTTACCCGATAGATCGTGAAACACATAGTGATAAAATCGAACCACTGAGTTGTTGTAGATATTTGACATCCTATCGATATGAGGTGCGCTGCTCATATTCATTGGAAGCTCGACTAAAACAACTGAAAATATAACAATTGTTTCATAAGATTGTGTAAGATTTCAAATATTATTTTGTTCTTTTATTAGAAACAAAAGCTGACCCTTTCATGCACAGTGTATATACACTGTAATATATTATAGTAAGTTATTAATATATATATAATATATATAATATATTTGTTTATATATGTGTAAAACTGACGTCATGTTTTAGTACATTATGTCTTCTTTAGAAAACCATTCGGAAAAATGTGTTTCTACTATTAACAATTAAATTAAAAACTGCGATAAAAATGAAAAATTACAGTGACAATGTATATCTAGAAATTGCTATTATCTATCGTAGTTGAAGCATCAAAGTAAAAGAATAAAGAAGAAGAAAAATTAATATCTAAATAATGATAATTAGCTTTAACCACAATATGTAGCAGCAATCAATTTTAGTTTTTGAGTTGTTTACTTCATTTCGTGATATCTAGTTGCGCAAGCAGATCGATCGATTGCACAAATCTACATTCTCCCTCGTAATCTACATATGAACCGGTTCCGATCCTATATTGCACGTTTCGGTGCATGATGGAAAAGAAGAGAAAACAGTGGCACGCTCGATTTCGCAATGACAATATTTAAACTGTTCGCCCAATAGCAATATTCCTCCATATAGATAAATATCGTGCTATTTTTTGCTACCTTATTTCTTTTTCCACTTCTAGCTCATAGACATTGCTGTTCATACAGGAATTACAGGCAAGATAGATGAAGTCGCTTTTACATTTTTAGTTTAAACTCTCCATCCATTCTTATTTTATATTGGCTACTACAATAAGATTTTAAAATAAAGTGTTTTCATTTGGTATACCTGTAGTTGCTTATTTAGAGTCTGTTTAGTATAGAAGTCTATTTGATTGTCTACTTAAACGACCGTTTCAAACCCCAGGACCGTTCGAATGTAATTTTATGATCGCTCGTAAAATTACGATCAACCTTTTCCTCTCGAAACAAGTGGAATAGAACGTAACGGTCAAACGAATTTTCCGTCGAAGAATATGTCAAGAATGATAGTTTAAGCAAGGACACTTTAAACATGTTGGTCTACTTTCTTCAAAGCCACAAACGATGGTAAAACTTAAACGGTTTGTCCTCGATCGCTTTTACTAGGCCTGCAGTTTAACCATCGACAAGCGAATGGTGAATCACGAGTTCTAAGAGATTCGATATTTTCGAACGATTCTTGGGGAATGGTAATGGGGGAGAGCGTAGATTTTCACTGCGATACGGTGTGTCGGAGGAAAGAAAAAATGAAGAACTGACGCAATTACAATAATCGACCATTGCTCATACGAAGGACCAAAGGCAACCTTTCATTAAATAAATTAACCGAACCTTGTTCATTCTCAACGAATTATATTAATTTTATATTTATTGTATTTTGTCTTTTATATGATTTTATTATTCATACACTTGACAATGACTTAGTGCTCCATCAAAAAGTAATAATAATTCTTCTTTTCATTTGCGAATAATTGCAAAAGTTACACGGGACCTTTTACTAGAATTTTCTTCTGTTAAATACCGTTGTTTGAAGAGCAATTTCATGTACACTGCTTCATAAAATCCCAGTTACTTCTGTAAATGCTTGATACAGTTAACGACATTCCTATTTCTTGAACACTTTTCCGACGTATAAAACCTCTATCCAAGAAATTGCCTGCGGAAACAGTTATCTAGTTATCTAGTACACGAGCAGCGTGCTCTGTCATTATCTTTTTTGAAGAAATTTCATCCTGCATACTTAATCGAACAAGTGGATTGACAAAGATCAACTAACGTATCGTACATGTATCTCGAAAATGTGACAACTCAAAATAATCCAGCATCGTTCATTAATTGGTGCATAAGAAGAAATTGAATATCCTTAGGAATTTTTTTAAATTTATGATAAATCCTTTTGGAAAACTCACAACGCTTATAGTTATTTATGTCAACGGCAATTACATAAACGGTGATCGGTTTCATTAGAAAGAAACTACGCATCAGTGAATTACTTTGTTTTCTCGTAAGGCTCCATCATAATGTCGTTTTTTACGATTTGTATGTAATATCAAGTAAAAAACATCGATTGGTATAATTAATAGAATGTTATTCGACTGTGTTTATAATTATCGTAACCGATTAGATCGTTTGCATATTCGTATTAACTTGACATTCATATTTTTTTCTCGCATTCCGAGATACGAACCATTCTATTACATGTTGCAATTTCCTTCCAATACTACCTAGTAATGACTTGCACTAGTTCGTAAACAGCCTGTCTTTTTTCATCGACTTCTGTACGCTCCAAAAAAATGTTCGAACTGTAATATTTTCTGGAAATACCAATCAGTGGGTTTTACTTTCCTCATGTACAATATACAGGTTGATATACATTCCATATACAGGGTATTCACGTTCATATTAGTTCCCAACGTCTCTATCATAAACGATAAGCACGAGGAGAAAAATGAAAGAGGAAAAGTCGAATAGTTCAAAATAAACGAAATGTTCGCATGTGCATTTTTGCAGTTGCACTATTTTTTAAAATTGAGACCTTTCTTTTTTTTGCATACATCAGATCCTCTCATTATTCTACGAAAAAGAAGTATTAGGATAACATTGGTCGAAAACTGATTAGTTTAAGAAGTGCTTTAACTTTAATTTTATAGAATTTATCATATGTAAGACAAAGAAAACGAAAATACAAGAGTACTACGTTGCGTCTTACCTTGCTCTTCGTATGATATTCTACAGAATTAAAGTTAAAGTATCTCTTAAACTAATCAATTTACCTGAATACTTTTTTGCACGGAACGACGAAAGCATTCAATATATGCTAAAACAAGGAAGATCATGTTAAAAAATAGTGCAGCTGCAAAATGCACATTTTTGTATATGTATTTTTTCGCTTGCGAGGAAGATATTGTCATTATGCAGTACATTTTAAATCGTCCATCTTTTCCCTCTTTCAATTTTTCCTCATACTTATCGCTTACAAGAAAAACGTTGCAAACTAATAACACGAATTGCTTTACGTATAGACTCGTTAAATTACATGATTATTCAAATAGCATAATTAATTATCATATAATTCCGACGTACAGATGGATGATATTGCCATGTTAAATAGTATGGATAGCAGAATTCTTCAGACAGCGTTAAATAAATCAGGTTAGCAATTGCGAAAAAATCCTGGCGGTTACTCAAAAAAATATGTAGATCTGTTTGTAACATTCGAGGAAAATATATCATTGTTTACGTTCTTATATAAAATACAACTTTATTTAGCATTAGATATGCAAACAATAACATCATTAACAAGTAACACTTTGGAACTCGTTATTCATGGAATAAATATGCAGCAGTTAGCAGAGCCATTCTATAGCCAGCAGAATATAATAATGGCAATCGACCGCAGGAGAATATGATTAAGAATACGACCAGGAAAATTCTCACTTTGTAGATCGCTTTAGTTTGATTTTAACATTTAAATAAAACGATCATGAATGATAGTAATTGATACACACTGAGCTTCATAAACAGTCAAATATACGAATATTTCTCTATAAAAATGTAATACACAAGTTTAAGTATACAATACTTTTTCGCATTTCTTAGTACTAGCGAAATTATTAACCGCAAACTATTATCCCTTATTTATTTTCTATTATTAAGTATTCTTATCCGTTCTTTTCTATCATTACTAGAAATCATAAAATAAATACATTAGAAATAATTAATTTTTCAAAATATATTTTGAGACTTATTTGTACACTTATTGCTAATTAGATAATCGCGTCTCTGTTTTATTTTGAGTCCCGAATTTATTCAAAAAATATCTTATGACTCGCTCTTTATACAGATTAATGTTCTATTATTATTTGATACTGTCAAATATTAAGTAAATCATTTGTAAATAATTTATTTCTTAAATAAAATGCATTGAATGGATATCTTTCGACTCGTACTTTTCGCTCATTAGTATTTCAACATTTTACTCCTACATAGAATATATAGAAATTTATACATAGTACGAGAACGAAGAATTCATAGATTATCTTTCAAACCGTAATCTCATTACTTGTTCCTATCATGTGTTATAATCATCGTGGAAATAAATGGCATTTCGAATTGACGTAGGACAACCGCTAATAAATTCTCGTTCTAAAATCAAGAACCGTGGTAAATCTATTCTTTCAACCACAAATATCTCTGCCTCTCGCGTAATCGATATATATACAATTTTCATCATTATACAATTTCTTAATCCTTCTTGATTTGTATCTATTTTTTACGCAATTATTAAAACATCGACTGATTGATCCAAAGTGAGAGTTACCCATTATTATAATTATAACAACAATGATTTGAATGATTTATAATCATCTGTGATAGATTAAGTATTTTATAATAGTTACTCATGATTTAGATGATTTACAACTGGTGGTGATATATGACAATTTAAAGTACCATGAACGGTGTGTAAGATCTGTAAAGGGGATAGCAGGCAATGAATGATGATCGTGATGATAATTATGCATATACGTAATAACTAATCTAATTTTACAACTACGACATTCCACCAGAATGCGTGCAATGATAAAGCGAAAAATAAAGTGGAAAAATATCCCGCAGCGATATTTACTACACACCGCTTCCTGCATATCGGAGCAGTCGCTCTTAATTTACTCGGTTAATTAAGAAAGAGATAGTTAGGCATAATATAGCCATAGTTAAGCGTTCAATCACAAACAGGCGAATAGCTTATCAACTCATCAATCTTCAGACTGATTCTAAATGTCTCGTTCTCATTAAAAGCATGCTGAAGTGCAAATCACGTGAGAAGTGTGAGTAAGGAAACAAAAGACTCTTAATTAAAGATCAGTGGACATCAAAGACAAGTCTGGTATGACTGTTGGTTACACTACGATTATGAACGTCTTGAGATGTATGTCACCAGTTCATCTTCTCGTCAGCCCGTCTCGTT